TTCATTCACTTCCTGTTAGTGTGTGTTGTTGAGTGGTCATGGCCTTTGCTCGACTACTCCATACCCAGAGCTTGCATTTTTATCATTATATGGACGACAGGCTCCTTCCAAACTGGTAACACACGAACATACACAGTTCCTTATGACAGAAGCAGCTCATGTATATTGGATCATCAAAGTGGAGAAATCCTTCCTTTCACCTACCTTGTTCACTTGGGAGACTATTTCAACTACTACTTAAGCCAAGCTCAGCCTGCTCCTCCTTGTCTATTTTTTAATCACAGAGGCCATTACCTCTCCTACACTCATTGCTTGCGAGGTTTTTTCTTATTTGGGGGAAATTGACATCCATGGAAGCTCTTATACCCTTAGGATGTGCACCCTTCAATAAATACTGCACGACTAATGTAACCTTTCCAGGGATCCCTTGTATTCAGTTATCCATCTCCCACCTTCCCTCCTAGTCGTTTTCACATGGTTCCTAAACTCTTTTCAAGTTGAACATGTTCACAAATGTTTCACTCACGAGTTGGGGGGCATGTTTAGAGTATCAGGAGGTTTCAGGTCGTTGGTCTCCTGTTGAGACGACCATGCATATCAACATCTTGGAACTACTAGCCATCCTTCAAGCTTTGGATCATTTCCTTCCTTCTGTACGAGCATATTGATCAGGATACATTCCGACAATTCAATAGTTGTCTCATACATCAATTGACAGGGTGGTACCTGTTCACGTTTGCTCTGTTTCAGAATGTTAGACATGTTCTTTTGCACCTATGCTTTTCACACATGCCTCATTGCGTATCATATTCCAAGTGCATTCAATTTGGTTGCTGATCATCTTTCTCATCCCAAACAAATCCTCCCCATGGCATGGTCCCTATACCCACAGGTTTACTGGTGGCTCTGCACACAATGGAGTACTCCTTATTTGGATTCTTTTACCACACGCTGCACCCCCAAATTACCCCTGTTGTTGTCCTAGTACATAATTCCCTAGCTTTGGCTGTAGATGCTCTTCGTCTGCACTAATCCAACCTGTTCCCTACCCACTAATCTATGCCCATATGCCTACCAACTAATCTGTCTCCTACTCAGGATGATTTCCATCATCCAGTCCACTCCATGTTGAGTACTTCTGATAGCACCTTTCTGGCTGGCACAACCAGGGTTCTTATCCTCCTCCAAACAACACTATCTTTACCACTTTCTCTTTTGCCATCCCTTCTCCATCAACCTCCATTGCCGGCTTTTCTTCCTGTACTTCCCACCCTCTGTCTCCATGCATGGCTTTTGTCCATTCCTTTGAAATGAGATCTGGACATGTGGTATGTTTTTTTTTATTCAGTTCACTCACTCATGGTTTATCAGATAAAGTGGTGGACTTTTCACGGCACCATGGGTTCTTTCCATCCCGACCAACCATACCTCGTGTTGCAGACTTTTACCTGGCTTTTTGATCATAACTCTTCAGCACTTACCATGGCAGGATATCGAGTAGCCTTGTACAACACCTTCAATTTTACCAGATACTTCACAGGTGTTTTCCTCTCCCACTTGTCCTTTTTTGTTATGTTCCTGATTTGTCATCCTCTTTACCCTACAAAATTGCCAGATTTGAATATTAATATTTTTCTCCACTCTTTTATTCATCCTCCCTTTGTACCCTTGGCTACCTGTTCCCTCTACGATTTGTCTCTTAAACCCTCTTTCTTACTCCTTTTGGCCTGTAGTTGTAGGTGGTCAGACATCTTCACCATCAACATTTCATGCACTCTTTATTGCAACACCTATGTTCTCCTTTATCTGTATCATAGCTTCCTTCCCAAAACCTCTGCAGCTTTTGAGGTCAACTCGTCTTTTACGTTGTTTCACTCCCTTCCTTTTCCCATTCGTGCTCCTGTACAAATCTGAATAGACCCCTGTGTCCTGTTTCTGCTTTCCATTGTTATATTACCCACATGGGTTCCATCCATGGTTCTCATTTCAGATTATTCATTCCCTGGAACCCATCTTCTCAATGAGCACTATCACCTCCTACCCTCGCGGTTTGGTTTCGTCTTTGTTTCTTTCTGGTGTGTACACCCCTCTCTCCCTAATCCCAACATCTCTTCTAGGTGTCATATTACCAGATTCGACATCTTACTTTTTTCTTGGTGGCTTATCTGCTTCGTCCTTTGGGGGAGATTATCCTGTTTGGGATGTGGGCTATTTCTAACATGTTCATCTCCCACTACCTACGTCATGTAGCCGTTTCTTTGTTATCTGGATATTGCATTCCACCTGTTGCCATTCTCCACACGATGGTTCAACTGTGTATTAGTAAGTTTACTTTTCTCTCTCTCTCTCTCTCTCTCTCTCCTAGAGGGTCATGTCTTTATAGACAGTGGATCTTACTCAGTGGCGAATGGTGCCTGTTCAGGTATACTTTTGGTTATCAACACATATATATAGGTGTGTGTACAGTGCACCCAGGAATGATTTGATGTGCACTAGCCATTCTACACTGTGGAGCACATCCATTTTATTGGGAACCCTCCATCCTGACATATCCTAGATTGTGATTCCCTGGTGTTTGTGTTGGATGTTGAGCTGGATCAACCAATGTCTATGTCAATTTTCTAACTAAGATTGGATCTATAGATCCCAGCCCTGAAAAGGACTGTATCCTAGCATGCTTAAACCAAAAACAAAATTTCTGATTATATCAAATAATAATTCATGATGTATAAATCAATTTATTTAACTTATTTAAACAACAATTTAAGATGATTAAATAAGTCACTAAGAAGTTTTCTTTCTTCACATATATATACTTGTAACTGGATAATCCTGGAACAGCCTTGGTCATTCATCGTTCCTGTATTCGACAATATCAAGAAGCAGGAGTTATCAACAAGAAGCTCGAAACTTGCTTTCCTTCATCTTATTTCCAGATCTCCGCCCATTTAGACGACACTTACTACCACATTGGGTGAAGAGTATACTTGGTACAAGAGAGGTCACACTACTCGGTCTTCCTTTGGATACTTTCTAAAGAGTGCTAATCTTCCTTTTGCACCGGACCCTCCACCTTTTCAATGTGGGATTCTAGCTATTATATTAGAGGAGGTAAGATACTATCAGAAGTTAACACTTTCCTACACTGAAGATGTATTTCCGATAGGTACTTACCTCATCTCAAACTTCCCACCCTTCCTCTCCTCTGTTGGTGCTTCTTTTGCGCTTAATCTCGAAATGAAGGTTAGGCTGAATATTATAAAGGGAGTAACCTGCACCAGGAGAATGTCTCACGCTCTTATTGGTGGAGGATTGCCGTGTGCTCATTTGAATGCAAAGACGCAATAGAACCACATAGAACACTGTGAGTCTTAAAGCTAAGGGGAGCGCATATAAAGGGCAGCACTGAACGAGAGAAGTTATGTGATAGGTAGTAACTATCTATCGGAAATACATTTTCAGTGTAGGAAATTGTTAACGTTTCAAACAAATTTCTTAAGGAACCAAGACTGATATTTTATCTGTTAGTTTTACTGATTGCGAGTCATTTGCACTGAACCTATACCTACAATTTATTTTGCTTTTCAACTACGTTTATCGCATTTATAGTCCTTTCAACAAAACAGCAGAGCATGAAGCTACTGGATACGCTCCAGCAAAGCTTATGTTTGGTCGGGAACTTTAGTTGCCAGTGGACCTGATATCAGGACGCCCACCCTACGAAGAGTTGCCTGAAAATGTGCCAGAGTTCTTGCAAGTGCTATTTGAAATGATGGATGATATTCATCGTCAAGTGTGTTCAAATTTAAAAACGTCTGCTAATTCCATGAAGCTATGTTATGATAAAAAAATCTACTGAAGTCAGCTTTGTACCAGGAGACAAGGTGTGGTTGTATAATCCCAGGAAGACTAAAGCGAAGTCTCCTAATTTGTCTTCTCATTATGACATAGTGGATCGTCTCTCAGACGTGACTTTCCGAATAAAATGTGGTCGGCGAGGTAAGCCAAAGGAGGTGCATGCCAAAAGGCTTTGGCGTTATCACAGCCCAGGACATTTTAGTTAGAACAAAATGAACAACAGAACAAATGACGCTGTTGAAGATGTGTCACCTGAAAAAGCCACTGTTGAAGAAGAAGCTCTACCCGTGAAGCCATTAATGAAGTTACTACCACTAATGTGACTGCTACCGATAATGGGACATTTCCTGATGGAGCAGATGAATCCCACGTGAAGCAGAAGCCAATGAGACAGAGACCAGTACGAAAAAAGAAACGTCCTGTAAAATTAAGAGACTTTGTTGTAATTTAATTTTGCGTTTGTAAATTCTGTACATTTAATTAAGTTATTGTTAATTATCTATTGGTTTAATGTATGTGGCTATTGTTCGGGACGAACTATACTAAGGAAAGGGCAGTGTTACGATAGCGGAATTCACGTGACAGTGGTAGCGTGCGTGAAGCTTCTCGAATTATCGGGTAAGCCTGAATTTGTTCGAGATGCCCTCTTCTCTAGTATATAAGCATGGCAGCGAAAGCCAGTGGGGTAATATAAAGTGTGTGTTTTGCATTTATAGAGAGCGAATATATCGAGATTGTGAATCGCTGTGATTTATAGCGTGTATTATAAAAGTTGTTAAGTTTAAAGTGACGAGAAACGTACTGATTGTGGAACTTCTGTGTACTAAAAGTTTGTATTGAGGAAGAATAAGCCGATTTAATCAAGAAAGGACTTGTATCGCTCAAGTTCCTGGGAAAGAATTTCTACCGGAAATTAACAAACAAGAAGATACGCAACAATACTGTAAACTAAGTACGGTATAGTGTAACTAGGAAAAGCAAGAGATGGGTAATCAATAGGAAAGCATAAAGCCAGAAGGCTATTGGTACATTAGTGAAGGAACTCTCTTCTATCTCCTGTGAGGCAGACAATCTCCACGTAAGGGTCCGAGCCTTTCAGGAGAACTCCTAGGTTTGTCACCTAGTGCTCAACTAAAATCAACTCAAAAATTAAACATAACAGTGTTAAGCTACTCTAATAAAACTACATTGTTGGGACCGTTTAATTAATTTTATTGGTCACTAGATGTATTAGAGTAGGTTATATAATGTTTTGCATGTACTAGTGTCACATTTATAAAAAAAACAACAACATGGAAGTAAAGATAAATGCATGAAGTTATCATTATGTCTCGACTGCTTATGAAGTTCTGGCGACCTAAAGCCTTGTGACTTGTTTTCTGTTGAGTCTTCGGTATATGACGACGGCCTTGATCTTCCTAGTCAAATGGGTTTTATGAAACATCCAGCACTTAACTAATTTTTATATTCTATAAAACAGAATACATTTATTTTCCAAAAAGTTTTTATTATTTATTTATTTTCACTCACACGTGCCTTCATTCATCAGGTTTCGAATTGTCGAAACGAATGAAATTAAATTTCAATTTAATGAAGTTAAAATAACATTAACTTTTAAGCTAGACTGCTGTGATATAGTTTTCATAAACAAAGCATTACGAAGTTTAGTGTAGAGGTTTAAATAAGATTTGAAATTTATCAAAGTTGAGATACCTGTGATATATACATGTGATGAAAGTCAATGAAAAGATTGCGATATGGGGAACGAAGATTATTTTGGTTCCATACAAGATTTATCATGTAGAGAAGTGAGTATTTTTAGCCCAACGTTTCGACTATTTTCCAATTTAGTTAAGCATACTTTATCCAGATTTTAGAACAATGTCCATAACTTGCAGTATTAAGGAAAGAAAAAATAAAGGATTATGTGTGGGAACATTTATAATTGAAACTGTGTAAACTTGTAATTGTATACTTTTAGTGTTACTACTAGTATTACTATACCAGTAGTCAGTACTACTAGTACTAGTACAGTGCTTCAGATTCTACAAATACTTGAAATAGTAATACAGTGTAATAAGTAGAACTAGAAAGAATATACTTTAAATCCCATAAAAAGGTTAAGATTTTAATCATTCGATGACCAAAAAGGACTCGAAAACCAAAGAAAAATGATGCCAGCAATATAGCAAAGCATAAAGCCAAAGTAATTGATGTAAATATTAATAATACACAGAAAGTTTAAAGAGTGATTATGAGATAGCAATTAAGGTTTGAAAATTGAAAGAATAGGGAGATTATAGCCACTAGTAAAGCCAAGGAAATTAAATTTTTGGAGATAATATTTTGAATCATGATAAATGAGTGTTAGTTATTGTTACTGATTTATAATCATACAAGGGTCTTTTGATTTAAAAACTAATTTGTTACATCAACTAATATTTTTTGTTATTGAGTGAATTTTATATTTGTTATTTAATGCTAAAATAAACAACACAATTCATTCCAGTGAACTGTTAATAAATGATGTAATATGTTTATGGTTCTGTAGCACCACTTTCTATTTTATGTCAAATTAAATTTGCATCATGAATTTTTTTTTATGTTATTACTGTGCTGCTCAGTGTGTTTATGATATTTTTTTGCATGTTGATTGTTTTGGTGTATTTAGGAGAATTAATGAGTTTGAGGACAGAGATTTCTTACATTTCAGAGGTAGCATAAGACATGTAAATTTAATCTTTTTTTACAAAATACATTAGTAAAACGTCCACCAATGAAAATATCAGCATTAATAACTAAGAAATATTTACTTCAGTATGTTCAGAAATATTGCCAAGTAACAAGATGTTTGTGGTAATATGTTGGTAGTGACATGATTTAATAACAGGTATTTATAAGAGTTAAAATAGACAAAAGTTGTCCTAATGTGTGTAGACATGACAACAATTTTCTTAACTTTTTTATTTTTAAATTTATTTTTTAAATTGAGATATGTAAAATAACTAGTGAATGGGCTACATTTTTAGGAAATTACTAATATTGATATATACAAAGTGCAAAGTTGAAATTTCTTTTATTTTGTTCCTTATAGCTCTCTGGTTCTTACATAGTTATTACAATTGATTTTTGGACCCCAAAATATGCTGTGTCGTCAACAAACAGATCATGTATTTTGTAGAAATTAAGGTTCAACTTTGTTCCCCCAAAATTTTGCTGAAATGGCACTACTGAGTTGAACATAAACATTTGTACATATTTTGAAATGTGAAACTAAATAATGTCATATTGCAATTTCAGATATCATCAATGGATGAAGGATCAAGAACTACAGGAGTTGACAGCATCAGAACCTTTAACCTTAGAACAGGAATATGAAATGCAGCAATCATGGCTTGAAGATGATGACAGTTGTGTGTTTTTTAACTTTAAACAGTTTCATTTTTTTTTCTTCTGCCAGCTTGATATAGCTGTTTAACTGCTAAAGTTTTCTGATAGTTGTCATTTTTATAAAATACATGTAAATATTTTACATACTGAAAAAGTTATAACAGAACAGTATTCAAGCATTTTCAATTATTGTTTTCCAGTTAACAAAAAAAAAGAAATAATCAAATGTAAAACTTACAAACTAATTATTATACAACGTATGTTTTATTTACCTAATACAAAGCTATAATGAATGAAGTGCAAAATACAAGTGTATTTTTGTATGGCACTTTAAAAGTAAAAGGAGCTCAGTGTAGCTTATCAGACTTATATTTGTTAGCTATTTCTGAAAACTTTTTGAAATTTAGCAACTCTGTCTTTTATAAATTCTAAATTGTTTAAAATTTGCCTTCTAGGAAAAATACTGCAAGAATTTTGTCTTGTTTATTGGGTAACCAAATATTTCTCACCATTAAATCTCAGTCAGTGGAGTCACTATTTGTGTGTTCCATTGGTTAAGAAAATGAAATACTCAGGAAATCATTTTTGACAGGGGATTACTCAAAGATGTAGTTAATAGTATAAATATGGAATGTTAGGTTGTAAAACAAACCCTTTGAAATATCTCTCATCTAAAATACTGTTGAGGAACAAATTATGATGTTTAAACATGGTTTTATTTGTAAACCTAAGGACTTATGGAAATAATTTGAACATAAGTTAATAAAGAAACAATATAAGTATAACTAAAAATGTTTCACATATGTAGTTATCGAGGTTCCAAGGCATGTGAAAAAAGGTATAAAAAATAACAAATTGTTTACACTGTCATTTGTAGATTTTAAGTAAATGGTTTGTCTTATGCAACTAATATACAAGTATTGTTCTTTATCTTACTATTTAAAGTCTAACTTTTATGAAAAAATGTGGTGTGTGAGACATTAGTATATAGATAATTCAGTATGCATTTTCAAAGAGGCTTATTTAAATTGAGCATTTTAAACAGTGCTTGAAGGGGGGAAAGAGGAAGCAGGATGGTTTGTGAAATTTTTGAAGCTGAAAAAGAAGTAGGAGGATGGTTTGTGAAATTTTTGAGTTGGAATAGGAAAAGAAAGATAACCTGACTGGTTTATGTATAATGTTAGATTAGGCCAACGTATATCAGCCTGAATTAGCCACTCTGAATTTTTATAATGTATTAACTAAATTTGTAATTATTATATAATCACACACTTTTTTTACTATAGTGGCAGGACCAAATGTGTATTCAGTATGTAGGTGGTTGTTTCCCAATTATGGCTTAAAAAGTTTAAGTGGAAGACCAACAAAGTGGAGGAACATGGAACTTAATGGCATGGTTTATCCACAGGCAAAGATGTAACCTCCAATTGGCTGCCAATAGGCTGCTGTGAAACTTAACATTTTGGGACAACATGGGACCTATTGGTCCATCTTGGCCATTCCATCCTCTAAACTAAACTAAAACTATTAATAAATAAATAAATAAAAAAATCTTAAAGCCAGCACTTGTCATTCATATACTTATCAAGTTTTTTCTTAAACTCACTTAAATTTATTGCCTCCACAGCATCCAAATGCAACCCATTCCAACCCTATTAGAAAAATATAACTGTCTTAGCTGAAGATGACTCTTACCCTGCCAAAATTTATATTTGTGTCCCCTAGTCCTACTGTTTTCACCTATACAATGGAATTATAACCTCTTTAGACTTGTATTCATATTTCTGTAGATACAACCTAAAATCTTGTTTGTCCTACCAATAGCAACAATACACTGTTTGGATGGCTTAAGAGACTGATCAACTATTACACCAAGATCTCTTTCTTTCATGACACTGTTAAGGTTATTCCCATCCAAATTATACTTCTGATTTAAATTATGATAATCCACATGCATTATCTTGTATTTATTG